CCTGTATTGTTTCCTAGTTTTATTAAAGTTCCTTCCCATTAAAGTCTCCTATGTTTTGTGTTGATGCGGTGGATGGCAGAACCCATGTAGAATAGGCAGGTTTGCGGGGTTTGGGCTGCCCCTCTCCCTGTCCTATAACAGCACCAGCACTAGCTAGTGCCTCTTCTCACAGGTCTGACCAACTCCATGGGGCTTCTCAGCAAACTTCTTTCCAGTAATCTCTATAACCTCCCAATCTCAGGATATAAACTGGAATTATATTCTCTTTCTCCTTTTAGTTTTTTTTTTTAGATTCTTACTGCTTTTTAATTGGTTAACTACTCATAATGACTTATAAAACTTAGTTAATTATATTATCATTTGTGAGGCATTTATTATTTTATAGACCCCAAAGAAAACTTTGCATACTTGTGTTCTCTGTCTTCCATTTTGAAGGATGATTATGAAGAAAAGTTTTAAAATAATTATAAATCAAAACCCAACTGAGTTAAAAGTGGAAAAAATGAATAAAATCTAAAGATAGTTGTGTGGTAAGAGCATAGGTGGTTTTTAGCTCACATTTTGGATATGAAAAGAATTTAGTTTATCTCTCACATACAAAAAGCAGGTGCAATAACGAAAACCAAATTGTGAAAACCTCAATCAACTATTTTTAGCATGCCTCTGAACTTTTTTCTCTCTGCTTTCTTATCTTCTGTGCCTTAGTCTTGGCCACGTTACTACTCCAGATGGGCCAGACATCAGTGGACCATGGAAAAAGCATCAGCAAAAGTGAAAAAGCAAATCTGACCATGACATTATAGATAGCTCACCCCAAGAGTTCAGTTACATGGCTACAGATAAAGTCAACAATTGTAGAAAAAAAGAGTAATTCCCGAAACATCTGTTCTGTTAGCTTCTAGCCCTTGTAATCCATTTGTGTGGGCAGCGTGCTCGGATGCACCAGCATGACTGCCTGAGAAGGCAGGTGGTGGGCAGAAGGGTGAAGGCGGTGAGACTCAGGAACCATAACAGCTAAGGCCTCCATTTAGCTTTTCAAGTTCTACCATAACTAATTAGCCAATAGCTTATATTATGTTATCTTTGATGAAATGCCCCAGGTAATTTGTTTTCCCAGCTGAACTCAGATGGATAAAGTACCTGAAGGGGCTAAACCTACCTGTTTCACCTGGGTCAGAAGATCTTGGATCAGCAGGAGCAGAGTAGCCTGCACTGCCTTCTGGATCACTGCCTGTTCTTTGCTCTGGGCCCTGGAGGAACCATAAAGTAAATAATTGGTATCCTGCAGATAGACACAACGCAGTACATAAACAAGTGAATTTTTTTTTAAATGTGGGTAAGTATATATGTAAGATTAATTTATAAAAATGGATTGCTTGGCGAAAAGGATTGTTAAATCGAACTTTATAAGAGGTTATGCCAATTTAGTCTCTCATGGGCAATAAACAGAAATCTGTTCGCATGGAAAACAGAGACATCAACAGAGAGAAGAGGGAGGCAAGCATGACACCCTTGTTCCAATAAGACAGACTCAACATGCATCTGAAAAAGTGCTCGTCGTCATTTATTGTCAGGGAAATGCAGCTCAAAACCATAATGAGATATACTGCACAAATGTGAAAATGATCCATATCAAAAAGACCAGACACAATAAGTGTTGATGAGGATATGGAGAAAAAGGAAACCTGTTGGTGAGAATATAGACTAGCCTGGCCCCTTCAGGAAACAGTATGGAGTTTTCTCAAAGTATTAAAAATAGATCTACCATGTGATACAGCAATTCCACTCATTGGTATTTATCCATAAAAGGTAAAAACACTAATTTGAAGGGATATATGCACTCCTATGCTCATTGTAGGACTATTTACAATAGCTAAGTTATGGAAACCACCCAAGTACACAATGACAGAAGAATGGATTAAGAAGATGTGATATCTATACACAACAGAATATTATTCAACTATTAAAAAATGAAATCTGGCCATTTGTGACAATGTGATGGAACTGAAGGGGATTATGTTAAGAGAAATAAATCAAAAGGAGAAAGACAAACACTGGATGACTCCACTAAATGTGGAATATAAAAAAAACAAAGCGAAGTAACAGATAAAATCAAACAAGAACAAACCCTTGGAATCCGACTGCAGAACTGAGGCTGCCAGATGGGGAAAGTGTTGGGAGGACAGCAAGGTGGGGAGGAGCCGGAAGGGCCTTGTGATGAATGGGACTTTGGTGAATGTGATATGGTAACATACATGTGAAGAAATGTGAGCCTATACCTCTAAAACATACACTGTGTTGTAAACTACCATTATCTTAATAAAAATAATTTCTTAATAAAGAAGAAATAAACAAACACATTAAATAACAAAAATAAAATTTTAGGCCAGTAGGAGGGATTTACCTGGTGGAAGAGAGAAGCTCATCTTAGCACAGAACGAGCTCTATCACTTGAGGAATTACTTTCTGACCTAGATTTCATGGACTTTTCTTGTTTGTTTTTACTATAGAACCAGCATATCTTGATTTTATTTAGTAACCTGAGCAAGTTTTAATTCAAACAGGCATGGCATTTGATAAATGATACCACTTTTGATGTCTATCTTCACCGTGACAGAAATAAAACATTGAAAAGCAAGTGAATATGAGGTTTTCTCTCTGTAAAGGGTGTATCCTCTTCTCTACCTGAAATCTAAGCCGAAAGTCAATGGAGGTTATGTATGACCTACCCTACCTCAGCCAGTGTGCATTCTGGAAATTACCACCCCCGCTTAGGGTCTTACCCTAGCTGGTCTCCTGGGAGTCAAGCCTGGGCTTGTGCCAGCAGAGCTTTTTCAGAGGACTAACACACAAGTGGAAATACTCACCCTATTTTAGTACCCAGTTCATAAAGGATAATGTAAAAAGGGGAGAGAAGCACTAATTCACAGATCTCCAGGAGGACTGGCAATGTCCAGTAGAGACTCAGTCCTCAGCGAATGTGGCTGAGCTGGCTAGCATTCTCAGCGACACCTACAGATGCATAACTATTGGAACAAGTGGCAGGACTGTTGAACATGTGGTAGCTACAAGCACTTGTGAGAGATACTTCCTGGGAACTCCCCAGACCACTTGGGTGGAATTTTGTAGGGTACTGGGTCTTTTTCCTGCAGTAGCAGAGTAGGTAAGACTTGGTAAAACATATGCTATAAACTCTCATTTACTAAGGTTGCCTTTTTAAAAAATATCTACATTTTTGCCTCATAAAAGGGGGTAGACTTTTGTTTAAAAAATATTATTCTTCCTTGAGTTCTTATAACATGGCTTGGCAAACCCTTTACAATTGGGACTAAATTATTTTTACCATCTACTGTTTGTTTTTCTTATCATTTATTTCTGCTTAGCAGAAGTCTGCTGCAGTTATCATTATCCTTGTTTAGCAGGCAGGCTACATTCTACATGCATGCTTTTGCTGATTTCACTTCGGCATTGTATGGTCTAAAGCTGTATTCACCAGTGAGGTTCCTTTCTCACCCTGTATGATCTGGGCTGCCTTCCTGCAGAGGACTAGTGTTTAATGTTCTACTGTGTCTTGTTTGTGCCGTCCTTAATTTGCACGACAGAGTTGCTGTCATCACCAATTAACATTTATCAAGGCCCCCCTGGATGCATGGCTCCATAGGGACTAATTTAATATTCTCTTTGTTTCAGATATCAGGTGGCTCCTTCAAAATGAATTTTTAAGTATCTCAGTGATGAGGAAGCAGAACAGAGACATCAATTAGAATTCAGAAAGACAAGCCTTTGCAGAAAATGCTTAAAAGAGAGCATCAAGGGTTGGTATTAATTTTTGAAAGTCTAAATGAGGGTATACTTTTATTCAGTCAACACATGACAAAAAATAAAAGGCACCATATTCATTGTTCCTGGAAGAAACCTGGCAGCATTCCATTCAGACAGCTTTCTTTGATCTTCCCATTTTCCTTTTTATTTATCCCTAATCCTCAAGGCTGAGCCTGGATTTATATCTTCCTGAGGCTTTTTCTGACCATCTCTGCTCTATGGAATAATAGCTCTATAGCCTTTATCATTTATGTCTTATTTGGAAATTTAGCACATGATTTGTTGTAGGATTAAATAAATAAGTGTTCATTCTGTCCAAATATATTAGAGCACTGTTTGGGCAATTTTTCTTTCCCACCCTCAATGTCAGCATATTGCACTGTCACTGGTAGAATTTCATGAGCTATTCATGGTGACCACAAGAGTCTATTAAAATCAAAATTTTACATTTAAAAGTGACTTTTTAAAATAAAGCTGGAACTTTGGAAGTTGAGACTCATAAGCATCATTAATGGTCTCTAAGACTATGGAAGCCTTTTTTTTTTTTTTTTTTGCTGGGGAGGAGGTGGGAGGGAAGTTGTGGGAGACAAGAACATCACTGGAAGTCAGCACTTTGTCTTTGAAGAATGCATTATAACATAATATAATATATGATACATTATATTAATATCATATTATATATAGATATATGGATATAGATATTTTGCCTACCCCTTTTGACAAGAGAGCTTGGTGGCTCTCAGTTGTAAGAACTGATAGGTGAATAGACCAGAATATTTCATTGCAGAATAACACACATTCGGTTCCGGCATACGTTTTGGAATTAAGAACACATCTTCATGTTTTATGACGTGAGAACCTAGGTCCAGGGAGGCCGGAGACACACGAACTCCAACCCCCCCTCCCGCCACTGTAAGCAGACCTATTGTTACGCTTGAAGCCGGCGCCCCAGCGGTCTTCGAACCCAGCTTAGGACGAAGCTCCCGCGGGGCTCCGCCCACCCCAGTTCCGGGAGCCTCATTGGTCGGCCTTCCGCCCGCCTCTTTATTCGTCATCGGGATGTGCACCGGGGAGGACGGCGTCCCCCTTTCGGGCACTGATTGGGCGAATCTTAATGACGTCACAGGCATCTCCGAGTCACGATTGGTTCTTAAGCTCCAAAATGGGAGGGGAAAGGCAGAGCGACAGGACTCAAGGAGGGAAGCGCGGATTGCGCCGGCGCGTAGTCGGGGACGCCAGGCCGAGGCTTTTGCTAGGGAACCGACTGTTGTCGCCCCGCCCCCTCGGGGCTTTTTGTCCCGTTAACTGTCGGAGTGGCGGGGGCTCCAGCGCCGGGCGACATGCCGGTGCGCTTCAAGGTGAGGCCGGGGGCTCCGGACCTGACTGTGGGGAGCCGTGGCGGGGCGGGTGCGGCGCGCTGGGGCCGCGTTGGCTTTCCGCGTCGCGCCTCTGCCTGCCACGTTCTTGGAGGATGTCGAGCTCCTCTTACGTAGCTGCCTCTCAGCTCACACTTTCGAATTGCCGTGTGGAAGAGCTAAGTGGTGTTGAGAAAGGTTTATTTTGAAGGACTCAAAGGAGTGGTGACAGAGGAGGGCACTTTTATAATGGTACTAAAGGGGCTTCAGTATGGGACACCTCCCATTCCTTTAAAACTTGAAAGTGTATGTCATTTCAAGACCTGAGAAATGAGATCATGATAAGCTCAAGACAGGGTATAAGAAATACACATTTTTCATTGACGTGCGTTGGCTTAGGGTTAGCTGTCAGGGTCAAGCACCGTTCAGCGTAAATGGACTACAGCATCCTACAAACCCTGCCTCCTTTAAGGGCTTGTATCCAAAAGGGCAGGGGAATTTGTCTGTCTTAAGTTGACTTTAAAAAATTTGGAAAAGTACTGGGCACCAGACGTAATTTTGTATACACCAGACGTAATCTTGATGAGAATTTAGGATAATTTTAGTGGTGGGGATTTAGATTGTCACCTGTTTCCAGACAGGAGCACAGGTCTGGGAATCAGGGAACCAGCAAAAGGGTAGCCACTCTGAGCCGGGCATTCCTGCTAGCTTCTGCCTGGAGTTGTTGTGAGGATTAGAGAATATAGCACGTATAAACTACTTAGCACAGGGCTGGGAAAATATTAGCCATTATTAAGGAGCTTGTCTGTGTTTATCAATCTTAATTCTTTCAACTCCTCTTAGCAGTTCACAAATTATTTTTTACTGATGTCTGCTTTGAAACAATGTTTATCAATTGCATTGTACTCAAATTGTACTTTGCATTGCAGGGTTTGAGTGAATACCAGAGAAACTTTCTGTGGAAAAAGTCCTATTTGTCAGAGTCCTGTAATTCCTCAGTGGGGCAAAGGTATCCTTGGGCTGGCCTTAGATCAGATCAATTGGGTAAGTTGAATCAACTAAGAGTCATTATAACTTCATAAAACCTTTGGGTTAAGTTTGCAAAGATAATTTTTTAAAAAACTGTGAAGCATTGTTCAATTGTCCCAGTTGACTCACTGATTTATTAAATAATATTTATTGAAGGTTTCCTATAGGCCAGGACCATTCCCAGCTTCTAGGGAGATAGTCTTGAGCTAGACAAATAACTCTTAATTGTGAGGAAAAATGGTAAACAAGAAACTGAGTAAAACTAAGGGATTTCACATTGTTATATAAAATTGTAGGTTTATGTGATAGGTAACTTGGGGGGAGGGGCGGGCTAGAGGAAATAAACTTTAGCTTGATAGTCAGGAAAGTCCTTTCTGAAGAGGTGATATTTGAACTGAGATGTCAAAGTTGAGAGTGGCCAAGCCTCTGGAGGAGTAACCCCGCTTCCCACACCATGGTCTTGAGGAATGGAAGCTTAGATAAACTAGTTAGTTTAAAGTTCACAGTTAGTGATACAGAACCATGATTTGAAATCAAGTCTGCCTTCTTCAAAGCCCATAAAACTACATTCTTGTCATACATGTTTTCTCCCTGTAGCCCAGGGAAGTCAGAGCCCTGGACCAAGGCTTTCCAGAGCATGGTAGCAGGGAAGAGTCAGACTGACTTTATTCTACCTGCTTGTTTCATTCTCCTTTACTAGAATATAAGAACTCAAATCGTGACTGTCTTCACCTCCTGTTCCTGCCCAATATCTGACATAAGGTCTTGGCACACTCTAGTGCTTATTGAAACTAATTTTTCAATGAATGAATAAAACCTGAGTTTGAATCCATGTTAGCTGTGTGCCCTTGGGCATATTGGGCCTGTTTCACCAAATGGGAATTAGAATGCCCATTGTGCTGGATTGTTGGAAGGGATTAAATGAGATGTTGCCAGTTAAGTCCAATGCATATATACTGATGAGTGCTTGGTGCTCCATATCTGGATATGTGTTGTGTAAGTCCCTCAAATGCTAAATGTTTGAAGTCAGGTAAAGAACAGATCTATGTGTGGGGTGCCAGGCCTGGAAAGCTAGTGAGGTGAGGAGAGTGTTTCAGCATTAGTTGTGGGGTGCAAAGAGAAGCATGGGCTAGAGTGCGTAGCTCTTTTCAGGTTCCTTTGAAGCATCAGGCTCCTTTGCTCAGAGGCTGATTCAAAGGCTGAGAGTCCTTCTGTCCTGGGCAAGGTGGTGCTTTTAATTCTCTCCAAATGACCACAAATTTGAGACTGCATTAGATTAAGAATCCAAACTGGGGAATTGCTTACCAGATAGTTGCCCTTATAGCATTTGGCTAGACTAGCTACACTTGAGGTTAGTGGTGATGAAATAAGATTGTGGGAGCAAAGCTACTTTGGGGTATGTTTCATTATGAATGAAGGAATGGTCTGGGAGAGGAATGCTAACAAGGAATTTGAGGTGCAAGTGAGATCTCCCAGATGTTGAGAAAGGAGGTGGGAGGCTAGCAAGGTGTAGTAGCATTGTTACCTAGGACTGGCAGGATGTTCTTTTAACACAGTGTATTCTTTTACCTGAGGATTTGCTGTTGCTTGGGGACAAGGGAAGACCACTTGAGAATTTCCCCTTTACTTTGCTTTTCTACCTGAAGCTTCGCTCTGTGCTAAAACAGAAGAGAATTCTAGGGACGATTCTAGTGATCGTCAAATGTTTCTGATTTCTTACCCCCTAAAAAGAATTTGGAAAGTCTTCATATCCCTTTATGTTTTTAAGTTGAGTATCCCTTTATATTTTTAAGTTGATACTTAATTTTTTTATTATAAACTTCATGAATAATTTCACAGGGTGATTTCTGGTATATTCAATATTGAGTGTATGTTATATACATACATATAGTTAAAACTTTGGAGTTGCCAATTAAGTTTATTCAGCTTATGGTAACTGTTTATCATATAATAATTGGTAAAATTATGACTCATTGGTAAAACTAATTAAGCAAATTATAATTTTTTGTGAAAAAAGTCTAATTTTGTTTTTCAATTCAGATAGATGTATTATTATTTATATATGCATATCATGTGACAAGTCTATTTCAGATGAAGTTTAATTCTAAGATAGGTATATGGGAAATTTGTGGAGCTGGGTGAAATAAAATGCTGTTCCTTAGTCATTTATAATCTCTGCCTTCTGTGCTTTGCTGTCAAATATTCTCCCTTAGGAGTTATGCTTTCTTGAATTGTTGCTTTGTTTGTCCTTCCCACCTGTGAGATCTTTTTTATTACTTGGGACTGGTTGAGTGTGTCTACCTTATGTGAAGTGGGAGAAAGGTGATTATGAAAGGGGAAAAATGAAGCTCCAGATGGCAGATGCAGCTCTTAGACAGATCAGCGTCAGGAGAGAGCACATATGGAAGCTGGATCTGGAGAAAGATCCCCTAAAGCTGCTTGTTTCTGTTTACACCCCCTCCCTCCTACCCATGACATGTCTTTATGTGCCTTCTAGTTTGAAGCACAAGGGTGGGAACCCTGGGTTCGTGGTTGAAACATCCATGATAGAGGCTAAAAAACTTGGGGTTTACCTCATGCCAAATTTTCTGCCCACCTTCCTTCTTGTTCCCTTTTATTCTTAATCTTTCTTCCCCACCCTGCACAGTTTTCTTTCTATTTAAGGGATGGCCTCAAACTAGAGCAGTATCTCAGTGACTGTCATTCCACAGAGCTCCTCTTACCTGGGTAGAAGGTTAGATTTTTGGACGTTGCTTGCCAGACAGAAATATAGAGAACTAGTATTGGAATTCTTGGTAAAAGGATTCATTCTCATTCATTCTCAGGAAATCAAGGCAAATGTAGAACTAAGGTCCAGCCTAATGACATCTCATCCCTTCTCATCTTAGCTTGCTCTACATAAGAGAAGCTTTGTGAAAAGTTCCAAATTTTGACAATACCAGGGCCCATTGTTCTGATAAGTAGCACAGGAAAGTAATTAGAAACGGAGACAACAGGTACTGACTGGCTTGCCAGGCCCATCACGTTGCCATTCCAGTGACTTTGTGTTAGGATAATTCAAACATTAAAAAAATAAATATTTATTTTTAAAACAAATCTTTATTTATTTTTAAGATTTATTTATTTATTTATTTATACAAGCACTGGGTATAGTCAGAAGCGTGGGAGGGTGAGAGAATTCACCAGAGCCAGAGTGGGGAACAGAACAGGCAGACTGATGAATTACACTGCTGAGGGGAGCAGTGGGCGCAACAGGAGAGGTCTGCTGTGCCATGTGGGACACTCGCTGGTGGCCAGGGGATCAAACTGGTGCTGCAGAGGCTGCGGGCAGCTTCGGGCAGCTTCGCAGCCCAGCTATTCAACCACTGCGCCACTAGGGGAGACCCCATTGTTCATGTTTAAATAATGTTTGCCCCCCCCCCCCCCCCCCCCCCCCCCCGCTCCCAACTGAATTTTAAATTGCATTTTTCTTCTCATAGGTATTATTCAAGTTGCCTTTGTAATTCAATTCTTTGGTAGCTGCTATGTTGTATATTATATTTTGTAGGAATCACAAGAGAGCCAAGTTTTATTTCAAAAAGAAGAGTTCCTTACCATGATCCACAGATTTCAAAATCTCTAAAGTGGAATGGACCTATCTCAGAGAACAATGTGGTTGTATCACAAGAGCCAGAAACGCCAGAATCACAAGAGGCAGAACAAAGAGATGATGTTAATCAAGAAAGAGTCCTTGCACTAGAGGCTTCCAGGGTTCCTAAGAGAACTAGACCTCACTCTGCAGATTCCAGAGCTGAAGGGGCTACAGCTGTTGTGGAGAATAATGAGGATGTAATAGCAAACCATACACCGGTTAATGAAAATGTGGAACTGGAACATTGTACCAAGCTTCTTCCAGAAAATGTAGATAATGGGGTAGGTATATATGTTCTTTTCAAAAGCATAGAATTCCTTGTAGATTTCATCACACTGTTGTATTTTGTGCTTAAAAATTTCCCATTGTTTTCTAGTCTAATGTCCCATATAATAATAAGAGGCTGTTGACTTTAGTTATTGTGAATTAGTTCTATTCTTAATAATTGCTGTTTTGTTGGTTATTCTGAGATATCCCTTCACTGCGTGGACACCCTTCCTCCCTTCCTCTGTATTTTATTCTTCGTATATCAGCACCTGAGACCTAAGGGAGGGATCAAGTTGAGACAGAGAAGGGGGCAGTAACCATTACATCTGGCAGAGGTAGCGAGCTGACTTTTGCCTAGGCCCTTTTCAATTTCTTATTGTGTACCAGGAAGAAAACAAACAGAATCTCAGTTGACAAAGTGGAAAAGGAAGGAGAGTTCTGGCTGGATCTCAAAGATCTGGCAGTTCTGCTCTCATATGTCACAGCTGGCCTGCAGAAGGATCTTAGGAGCACATAAGCAGAGGCTGCAGGAACCGTGCAGACACCTCACTTCCTCCTGCACTCCACTGCCTCTTCCCCACTGCATGTCCACTGCTGACTGGAACCACAGAGGCATTTATAAGTGAAGAAGAATCTGTGGCTTTTTGCAAAACCAGGGAGCACAGATGACTCAAGGAAGGTGATATGTAAGTCTGGTGGCAGGGGAAGGGGTATCCCAGAAGCAGTGTGTGGATCAGTCAAGGTGCTGTTGTTTTCAGTCATAGATTTAATTGTGAAAAATTGCTAGGAAGGGACTAAGAGATGCCATCATTTTGGGGAAAGCATAATAATTACTTGACAGTATTAAGAAAGACATTTTAAATAGTTTGATAATTTGTGAGAGACATCAATTAAAAATGTGCATGTAGTTAACAATATCTTACTGAACTTACACATTTTTTGAAGGTAGATTTTATGTTTTGTTTTGTTTTTTACCACAGTAAGAAAAAATTTGAATAGACATTTTTAATGACTGAGTGGGATTTTTTTGTTCCTAACAGTTGGATAGAATTCTTCGGAAGAAAGCTGGATTGACTGTTGTTCCTTCACATAATGTCTTAAGAAATTCTGAATATCAAAGAGAATTTGTTTGGAAGACTCCTAAAGAAACTGCTCCAGTTTTTGCAGCCAGTCAGGTAGTTTAATGGATGTGTAATATATTTTTAAGTATCACATCTAATCTGGATTGCATATTTACATAGAATTAAGTTTTGACAGCAGAATTATATGCGTAGGACTGAAGGTAGGTTCTAAAAATGTGAAAATGAGAGTTTTGCTAAAATCATCCTTTTAAAGGACAGTGGTAATATCACTCTGTCTTAGGCTACTGATGATCATTGTTGTCAGATCCAGCACATGTAGCAAATATGGACAAGGTAGTAAAAACTTGGGAACTGGTAAGTTTTCTCATGACAATAGATATTTTTTATTTAAAAAAAAAGATTAATCTGGTTTTTATTCTAAATGTGTTTAAAATTAATGTATTGCATATTTTCCATTTTCTAAGAAAGGTATAACTGTTTGGAATATTTATTTTAGTAAACACCAAATATGTTAAAAGCAAAATATATCATTTTGTCCTGTCATATGAACACTAATAGGACTTGTTAGTTTAACTATATATTTATAACATACAAAAGCTATAATATAACTAAATGTGATAGTAGATATTATGTATCCTTGCACAATTTTAGTACTGAGCTGTTGTTTTATGTCCTCTAGACAGTTCTTAGCCTCTTTTTTTAAAAAAGATTTATTTATTTATGCATACAAGAACTGGGGTATAGGCCAGAGGTGTGGGGGGTGAGTGGATTCACCAGAGACAGAGTGGGGAACAGAACAGGCAGATGTACCAAAAAACACACTGCTGAGGGGAGCAACAGGCAAGTTAGGAGAGGTCTGCTGTGCCATGTGGGTTGCTCCCTGGCCAGAGATCGAACTGGTGCTGCAGTGGCTGCGGACAGCTCCACAGGCTGCGTCTTAACCCCTTGCACCATCAGGAAGGCCCAGTTCTTAGCCTCTTTACCTCTCATTTATGTTCTTAACCATACTCCTAGACCTACGAAGGACATACTTCCCTTTGGATTATCCACAAAGATCCATGACAACTTAGTGTTTACTTTCTCCTGAACTGTGTGTTTTTCTTTATAAACACAAATGCACACATGCACACACATGCACACACACCCCTTTACACACCCTTATGTTAGTTTTCTCCTGTATCTCAATAGTTACGTGTGTACTTTATGTACCTCTAAGAACTTGAGAGGATAGCCAATTTAGTAAGAAAATAACATCAGTCGTCTTACACTAAGAGAACACCACCAGTGATCCTATCGGTTGTGGTAACTTTGGGCTTGTTCAGGTTTTAAAAAAATCTGAAATTTATATAACATTTTAGAAGACACAAAATAACAAAATGATGTATACCCTTTATTGATCTACTAGATAGGATAAGTACTTCTTTTGCTGGCTCACTTTGGTAGTAAGTACATCCAAAAATGTATGATCTAAAAATTATGATTGTTCACAACCCAAATGGCCAAAAATAGATGACTGGATCAAGAAGATGTGGTATATATACACAGTAGAATATTGTTCAGCAATCAAACAAGATACACTAATGCCATTTGCAGCAACATAGATGGAGCTTGAAGGGATTGTGCTTAGTGAAATAAGTCAGAAATTAAAAAAAAACACAGATGGTTTCACTTATAGGAGGAATATAGGGGATCAAGGAAAAAAAATAACAACAAAAAAACCCACATCAAAACAAAAATAGAGAACTATAAATCAGACATGTTCTTCACTGGAAGGAAAAGGATCAAAACGAGGGCAGGAAGAGTACAAGGGACTATGGTGATAGTGGCACAGGTGAATTGGTGGTGGAATTTCATTGGGACAATACCTGAGAAAAGAAAGTAAACATTGTAAGAAAATAAATAAATAAAATTTAAAAATATAAATAAATTATGATTCTTCAGTTCTGGTAGAGTATTTCACCTTTAAGCTAAAGCTGATTCAAATCAAAAGCAATTGACAACTTACATTTTTTAGTTAAAAATATTATATAGAAATGTATTTTTTATGGGATCAAAAGTATAACAAAATAAATCACTAGCAATACCTTCATTAGTGGTTTTATTGCTTTCATTAGTGAGGGTTTCAAAGAAATTTTTTTTGGCAGCAAATGCTCTTTATTCAAAGCATAGCAATTTCAGAGTCTGGATCAAAAAGCTTTGTGACAAAAATTTTCAGTGCCTATTGATTGAGAACCTCTAAGGGAGCTCTTAGTTCTATTTTATCAGACACCTGTTTTCTGAAAGGATGTATCATATTCATATGTAAAGGAGTCAGAATAATTTTTGGCAGAAAAGTCCTTGAGATTATACTGTACTTAAAAAGATACATTGTTTGGATTTGATCTGTATGAGGGTATACTATTGAGTTTTATAGAGTAGTATTATATCTTATTTGAGTTCCAGATCTTTTCTGTTTGCTTTCCTTGTAGTTAGCAGTAATATATATCATAAAATGGAAATCATGTTATAATATATTAAGGGTAAAAAGGAAACCTTAAAAAATAGAAACATAATTATTATCTGATTTTTCTCTTGCCTTAAGCTAAAAATAAGCAAGCAAACACGAAACGGGATAAATGAACATATCAGGTATTCAAAATGTTAAGAATTTCCTATTGTTGCAGTCAGAAAAATTAATTTGTCAAGGCAGGAAAGAACCTGCAGATTTAACAATAATTGCCTTGTAAAACTAATGTCTGTATTCATATTATGACAGTGTCTACTTTATTATCTCATTACCAGGCCAATGGGAGGGAGTGGTGGGGAACTTGGGGATAAAGATATAGTTCATTATTTTTTTTTTTTTGCTCAAGCATTATATTGACTACAGTAGCTATTGTTCAAAGCATACTAATGAGTATAAAAAGTTGACCTTTGGGCTTTATCCCCACCTTTTTTGAGATATAATTGGCAAATAGAAATTTATAATGTGCATTGTGATAGTTGATTCATATACATATGTACCTATATATACACACATACTTCAGTCAAGTTAATATGTTATCTGTCAGCTCACATAGTCACCTTTTATAGGTGTGGTTAGAACCCTTAAAATCTATCCTCTTAGCAAATTTAAAATGTATGGTGTAGTATTATTAATTATAGTCACTTTGTATCTCCAGAACTTAGCTTGCATAACTGAAACTTTGTACTCTTTGACCAACAGCTCTACCATTTTCCTTCCTTCTTGCAACCACCATTCTATCGTCTACTTCTATGAGTTTGCCTTTTTCAGATTTCACATATAAATGAGATCATGCAATATTTCTTTCTGTTCCCAGCTTATTCCATGTAGCATCTCTTTTCCAGGTTAATCAATGTTGTTGCAAATGACAGGTGTCAGGATTTCTTTTTTTTAAGGCTGAATAGTAATTCATTGTATATTATACATAATATATGGATACACAATGGAATATTATAATGCTAAATATATATAACATATACATGTTCATATGCCATGTTTTCTTATTCATATGTTGATGGACACTTAGACTGATTCTGTATCTTGGCAATTGTGATTTTGCAATGAACATGAGAATACAGATATCTTTCTGAGATACTGATTTTATTTCCTTTGGGAATATACCCAGAAGTGGGGTAACTGGAGCATATGGTAGTTCTATTTTAATTTTTAAGAAACCTCCACACTGTTTCCATAATGGAAATATACATTCCCAGCAATAATATACAAGGGTTTCCTTTTTCCACAATCTTGGTAACACTTCTTAATCTTTTGCCTTTTGATAATAGCCATTCTAATAAGTATGAGGTGATAGTTCATTAGGTTTTAATTCACATTTCTCTAATGATTAATGATCTTGAGCACCTATTTATGTACATGTTGGTGATTTGTATGTCTCCTTTGGAAAAATGTGTATTCAGTTCCTCTGCCCATTTTTAAATTAGATTTCTTTTTCTGTTGACTCATATGAGTTCTTTATTATTTTGGATGTTAATGCTTTACCATTTTCACCCATTTGGTAGGTTGCCCTTTCATTTCATTGTCTTTTCATTTGTTCATTTTTATTTTCTGTATAGAAAACTGTGTACTGAAATTTGATGTAGTTCCACTTGTTTATTTTTGCTTTGGTTGCCTTTCATTTTGGTGTCAGATCCAAAGGATCATCACAAAGACCACTGTCAAAGAGCTCATGCCCTCGGTTTTCTACTAAGAGTTTTAGTTTTAGGTCTTATGTTAAAGTCTCTAATCCATTTTTGATTTGATTTTTATATGGTGTAAGTTAGTGGTTTAGTTTCATTCTTTTTCACGTGGCCGTCTGATTTCCCCACCATCATTTATTGCAAAGATGACCTTTTCCCCATTGTATAATTTTGACTCCTTTGTCATAAATTAATTAATCATATATGTGTGGATTTATTTTGGGGCTCTCTGTTCCATTGATTTCTATGTCTTTTTTGGGGGGGATTTTTTTTAAAGATTATTTTTTATTTATACAATAGCTGGGGTATAGGCCAGAGGTGCAGGAGGGTGAGAGGATTCACCAGAGACAGAGTGGGGAACAGAACAGGCAGATTGACTGAAATACACTGCTGAGGGGAGTAGTGGGTGTGACAGGAGAGGTCTAACGCGCCATGTCTATGTCTGTTTTTATCCCCCTTTGCCTATTTTTTAATTGAGTTGTGTTCTTGCTACAAACTTGAGTTCCACGTGTATTTTGAACGTTAACCCCTTATCAGATGTAAGAGTTGCAGATATTTTCTCTCATCCCATAGCTTATTTTTTCATGCTGTTGATGTTTTCTTTGCTGTACAGAAGCTTTTCAGTTTGATGCATTTCCATTTGTCTGTTTTTGCTTTTGTTACCCTTTGAATGTTAGAGATATGAAATGAAATTACAATCATCTGTAACTTTTGCTTTTTAATGTCCTATAGTTCAACTTGATATAGGAATTCTTTTTTTTTGGAAATTAAAATAATTTCTGTATCTTTAACAAATGAAAATACTAAAGTAATTTTTGTTTTAAGGTTTTCCACAATAAAAGCAAATTCGTTCCACAATTCAAAGGTAATTCAATCATCCATGAAAGTGAATACCAAAGAAATTTCAAGGGTTTATTTCCAGTGAGAGAACCAAAATTACGAAATGATTTGAAAGAGAATGGAAACTTTGAAACAGTATCTCCTGAAAAAAAGGTATTTGTCAACTCTTTAAACAAAACCTTCATGATTTTAGATTTTTAAACATTTTCTTTCACTTACCACCACCACCTGAGATTTATTTTTAGTTTATTAATTCATTTGTACATTTAATGTCAAATATTCATTGGGTACTTACTTAGTAGGAGCTGAGCCCATGGCAGGTACTGAGAATACAATGATAACCCCAGCTTTAAGCAGCCCTTGGGGTAGCTGGGTGACAGACATGTATATAACTAAATGCGATATCATGTGATGAATGCTTACCACTACAGCAGGTAAGTCTGCTTTATATATATATAGATATATATAGATATATATATCTATGTATATGTATATATATAACCTGTTATGTTCTTGGGAAGAAAAAGAGTTGTTGGGTTACTTAGTATAACAGTGTAACTCATCTGAATCTTGTTTACTGTAGCACAACTTAGAATATCAAAGGCAAAATGTAAGACCACTGTTCAAGAGGTAGTAACAACAGATTACTTATTTACATGTTTATTAATTTTTTTCCTAGCCAGAGATCTAAGATTTTTATGTTAGAAAATTAAGCTATATATTGAGCTTTATCTTAAAAAAGTGAACAGATATATCAGTTTCAAATATTGCTTGTGATTTCTGTTATGTTTAATAGTTAAAACAGAATTATAATACTGTACCCAGCTATACTTTATAACATCTATGTTTCCACTTTAATTATAACATTTTAAGCATAAAATTTTAAATTATTTTCATTTTAGTGTAATAAAACAGATGATTCTTTAAAATTAGAAGCAGAGATGGAATTAAAAGACTCAAACCAGCCTAAAAAAAAACTTACTCCTTGGAGACATCAAAGACTTGGGTATGTATTTTATGAGAAAAATATCATGGCATTTAGATGATCAACATGGTGAAATATTTACTCTCATTTCATTTCTGTTAGGAAGGTGAATTCTGAATATAGAGCAAAATTCCTGAGTCCAGCCCAGTATTTATATAAAGCTGGGGCTTGGACACATGTGAAGGAAAACATACCAAATCAGGTGAGTATATATAAGCTCAGTGAGTTGACATTTTCTTTGCACCTGTGTGGTAGTTTAATTTCGCAATGAGTTTCATTTAGCAATAGGGACTGTAATTTAAAGATGTATGATACACTCACGTACTAAAAATAAATTTAAATTTATATGTATTAGGACATAATTTATCAGTGTGTTTACTTTTTTAAGAATAACTAATGCCTTCGAGGTTAGTATTTAATATTATTAAGGTCTTAAAAGTTAAAAATGTTTTTTTACAACAGATACTTAATTGTGTTAATTAAATAGAATTGAACCATTTTAGATTTGATAGTTTTATAACGTTCAGACCATGGCGCTCCACTCAAGATTAATTTTTAAGATTAGTTTGTCTGACAGTGGCAGCCATATCAGCAGGTACTGTTACAGTCTATAAGGACAAGGAAGGTGTGGCCTGTGCAGATAGGGATATAGGCTATAGTGCTGGAATACCCTGACTTATGGAAGAAATTCTGAGAATCTTTAAGATAGGTTTGAGGGAAAGAGTAATCCTAGAGTTGGGAAGAGTACTAGTTTAGTACTAGCTTTTATAGTCACAGGGTAAACATTGGAGCTTTTTTGTTTATTGCTTAATTAACATCTTTTAAACCTCATCTTGATGGTTTTTTGACTTTTCTATATGAATAAACTAAATTAAAGGACTTTGTTACAAAATAAATTTGCACATTTCAGGTACATTGTGGAATTCAGCAGATAGTATAAGGGATCACTAGATATAAAATAACTCCTCATTTTAGGGGAATGATTATTTGGGAAAAAGAAAATTTCTCCCCATTTCTGAGCGAATTTTTTATATGTAAATTTTAAACAATTTAGTTGAAAATTGATTTGGGAAAGGAAATTCAGAAATGAAAACATTTCTACATACAGTGTTTGTGTTATATAATCTGATGGCTTTACTGTTGAGGGGTATATGTGTTGTTTTTTACTTGAGTTTGGAATGGTTTATTTGTTTCTTTTTTTAGTGGCTCTGATTGACTGTAGGGATTGTTCACACCATTGGTTTTTTTTTTTTCATTCTAGGGGAATACCTTGGGAAATAGTAACCTAAATGTCATCTTAATTTAGAATTATAGAAGTTTAAAGTCATGTGTTTCTTAAACGTTATAATATCAACACTAAGATTATTAATAAAGATGCCAATAAAGTAAAACATTGAGTTTTTATTTGTCAGTAACAAATAGAGCTAAATAAACTGAAGTTTCACAGTTTCTACAGTTATCTTCTTTCCTTCCTCTTTAAAAATTTGACATCAAAAACTGGATCACTGTGTATAGGGAGGGGGTATCTGTCCATCTCATCAAGCAATAAGGTCCTTCCACATGCGCAGCCTCCTGCACAGCTCCTTTCTACTCCACCCTGTGCTCTGTGCCAGCTGATAGATCCCCCTTTGAACTGTCACTTCAGTTTGTCTTGTTCGTTTATTATGGCATGGACCATACCAATACTATGATAATAATTTATCATAAAGGAGGAGGTCTCTCTCCTCTACCAGATTGTTAGTACATTGAGTGCAGGGACTTTCTTGCTTATCTTTGGCTACCAGCTGTCTAGCGGAGGCCTAGCACTTAGTCCACCCTTGGGACAGTTTGTGAGTCAGTATTTAAATGTTACATTCTCCCTCACTTGGAGGAGTTCACAAGTTGATGGGAGAGAACAAGTAATTCTATTAGAATGAACTGTCAGTGCTAATGGAGATAAGCACAAAGGGCTTTGACACAGAGGAAGAAATGATGCTTTTGGGCTTGCAGATTTGATCATGTAGTGATGGAATGGCCATGAAACATTTGAAATTTGGGGGGACTTATTAGAAATACAATTTGGATCATATTAAAGCATCATATTAAGTTTTGTGCATACAGAATACCTTGTTTGGTAGTTCAACAAATTCAGCCTGTGTTTCAGTTCTGCTAAGTGCAAAATCACTGCTAGTAATTTTCATTAATGTACAGATGTTGATAGAAATGATAAAAGAACATGGCTCAATTTTTTTAGCAGTGAAAAAATCAATATTTTGGATTATTCTAGAGAGTGTATCAGGTTTGATCCATAAAGCTGTAGGACTTTGCTGGGATTGTATGATTTCCTATGCTACCATGGCAGGTGCTGTCCTTAGCTTTGGCGAATTCTGTAGAGATATAGCACTTTCATCCCTTTGCATTCAGTAGTGTCTCAGTGAGGCACTGACTGTTTCTTCAGTTGCTTTTGCAATGCTGAGTTTCATTGCTTGCTTTTCTGTCATTAAGTATAAGAAAAGCAATTTATCAGATTGTATATCGATCCATCTAGTGCTAATATTCTATCTTTATGATAGAGAAAATTATAGAGTTTTCAAAAATAAAGATTTTTTTTTCATGCCACAAATTATGATTCTCAATTAGGGGGCTATGTATTTTTCCATTTTAAGGTTTTTTGAAACAATTTTAAGGGACCACTTAGTTTGTATTGTAGAATTGTGTTTAGAGAAGCCAGCAGGTGGCAGTATGCTGTGTCAAATTAAAGGATTTCAAATGAGTAATAAAAGGCTCCTGGGCATATGAAAACATGTTTGCATATTAGGGAATTCAGATCACCTTAAAATTCATCGGAACATTTTTTTTTTGTATGTACTGTCACTTTGTTAAATACATCACAATGATGATTTTGTGGGATTAACAACAATCCTATGTTTAATATTTTTTTTTAAGTTGAGATTTTATTTTTTTTATTTTTAATATTTTATTTTATATATTTTTTACATCATTTTTCATTTTTTGCACAATGTATGCATTTTCATCTTGGTTATATTCCCCATACAATTCCCACCCCCCGTATTTGACCCTAATCCCTCCTCCCCTCCAATCCCACCGTAGTGTGTCTCTGGTTTATAGTTGCTTGTTGATTTTGATTTTTACTTTATTATAATTAGCCTTTTCCCTGGTCCCTTATTTAGGTTTTCTAAATTCCTGCTATGAGTGAAAACATCCGGTATTTTTCTTTTTCTTTGCCAGAACACTTTTCATTCATTCTTTCAACAAATACTTATTGAACACTGGTAGGGAAAACAACAATGAGATTTTAGCTGATTCCAAAGAGATGTTGAGGAATTTGGAGTGGGACGCTACATGACTTGGTTGTGGAGACTATAGTAGTAGCTGTTGTATATAAAACTTGGAAGTAAAGATGGGAGATAGGGTACTCTGGATGTCAGTACTCTTCCAGAAGTGGGAAATAAGGATTGGTTACATGTCATTAACAGCATCTATCATGCAAAAATGTGGCTGACTTTCAAGGTAATATTAAGATATCTTGGTTACTGAATTAAATGTGACTAAAAATACTAAAAAATATTGATTGACAAGTTTGGTAGATATTTAGAAGGAAGAATAATAAGATATTTCATTGATTGCCATTAATATTCAATTATGGCATTGACCTGTCATTAAGTGTGTTTCTGTATTCCTCCCCTAGGATTCTCTAAATGCTGTGTGGTATGCGGAGGTTTGTTGCTTTTGACTTTTTAAAACCTATAATAATGCATAGAGTACTTGTGTAATTTCAGTTGAAGTAAGAAGTAGGTGTCAGTATTTTTCCTAGCTGCTGCAAATTTCCCTCTGCCTGCTGGCCTGAAATAAAATAACTGTATTGTGCTTTGGCTTGACTGTTCTAAATGTCTGCTTAAAAATGCACATGGTTTGATGAACATTTGTGGCTGGTTTTGCCTTTTCCCTTGGTCTCTAGCAATATTTGTGCAACGTCTTTGATATGCTACTTGGGTATATTTGCAAAGGACTATTTACAGTAATACAGGATGTATCTCAACTCTCCTATATAGGTTAAAGAACTCCGAGAGAAAGCTGAGTTTTATAGGAAACGTGTTCTGGGAACACATTTTTCTCGAGACCATCTGAATCAGATTTTGTCTGATAAGAACCGCTGTTGGGATGTCTCCTCAACCACAAGCTCAGAAGGAACCATTAGTAGCAACATTAGAGCACTAGATCTTGCTGGGTGAGCTGTTCTCTGTGGATGGTGAAAAAATATGTTGTGGTTTATGTAGGTCACAGAATTACAAAGTAAAAATGACATGACCACTCAAAATTTGTCTTCTAGTTAAAAGAAGATATGCTAGCTATTTATTACATTTCATTATTTTTATTCTCTGAAAAACAAGACTACATACTTGACTTACACACTTGTGTATAAATAATTCATAATTTGAGTCTGGAAGACTATTTTATAACATTGTTAACAATTAAAAATAGAATAGGGAGGATATAGGAGATGTAAATGAAACTTTAAAAACGGAAGAAAAGGGCCTCCCTGGTGGCACAGGCGATTGAGCGCAGCGCTGTGAAGCTGTCCGCAGCCTCTGCCATGCTGATTTGATCCCGGCCAGCCTCAGAGCAACCCACAGGGTGAGCAGACCTCTCCTGTCTTGCCTGCTGCTCCCCTCAGCAGTGTATTTCGTTAGCCTGACTGTTCTGTTCCCTCCTCTGTCCCTGGTGAATCCTCTCACCCTCCCATGCATCTGGCCTGTACCCTGGTTCTTGTATAAATAAAAAAAAGAAAGAAAGAACAAAGCCAGTAACAGCAAAAAACAGGTTCAGTTTAGAGACTATAATCTATAAGTATGTTTCTGTTATTAAATAGGATATTTGTGGTTAATATGAAACTTAAGCCCCCATGCTTTGGGAGAATTCTCTGCTTTTTGGGTCTTAAAGTGAACATGATTTAAATATAAGAGAACTAGCACATTGATTTGTAGTAAATAGTTCTTAGTTGTTACAATATATTAATATAGTTATGCATACCAAACTGAAACATAAGTTCAAATTAGGTGACATCTTATTTTAAAAGTTCATTATAAAATCTATTCTTTAACAATGTCTTTTAAAAAGATAAATCTATATAAAGTATAAAATTTGAATTAGTTGATCAAATTACTTGATCCACAAATATTCTGAACAAGTTAGACCCTGAGGGGTTCTATTTTGGGCATACATGCCAGTTTTGGGAATATGTATAAGTTTTGTCAGCAATGGTATAGGTATGTATGTGTGAAGGTAGGAGTCAGAGGAGATTAATGTATTTGGGGATATTTTAATAGAAACTCCAGATTGGTAACTTTAATTTATTCTACCATAAAATGAATTCTTTGACTTCTTTTTTCAGTATCTAGGTGAGGCAATATCTATGGGAAACATAGTTGTGAATAGTGGAATGGAATGACAAGCTCATTGAACTAGATACCTCAAGCCAGTCAAGTTTAAAATAAAACTTATTTTGTTATGCAGAGATCCTACAACCCATAAGGCTTTGCAGAAAGGCTCTTCTACAAAGCTAGAAGAAAAAAGTCCTGTCTTGGAAGAACAGCCCCAAAAAAATACCATGGAGAAGTTGGGTGTGACAGATGCTCCCACCTTACCTGTTAGAAGGCGTCTGGCTTGGGATGCAGAAAATAGTGAAGTCAATGAAGATGTACAGAAACAGCCAAGAGAAGAGGAAGAAGAAGGGGAGAAAAGGGTTGAGCAGGTTTCTATGGGAGAACCAGAGAAGTTGGAAGTACCTGAGAAGTCGAAGGAAGACAAGATAAAAGAAGGGTGAGAGTTTTGAGTTTTACAGTATATAGAAGTGTTGTACCCTGTCAATGTGTATTTTGTTTTTGTCACTAAGAATAGTGGTTTATGTTCTTGGTTTTATGAGTAATAAAGAACAGATTTTACTTTAATGTCATAAATTAGGTTTTCTGTGTTTCTAACTTGATTACTTAGATATTGAGTCACAACTAATTGGTAAGTATACACTTGGGGAGGAGGTGGTTAGAGTTTTTTTCATTTATGTCCTGTTAATTATAATTATGCTTGGGTAGATTTGTAAATGTGTCTGGAAGAATGACTTTCTTGATGACTTAAGGAAAATAGCTGATGGTCTCTAATATCAGATGTTTATACCAAAAAAAAAAAAAGATAATGCTTCATAATATTAAAATAAGTGATTTCAGCAAATAGCCTATTCCTGTGGATTTATAATGCAAATTGCTTTGGGGAATGGTTTTCTATCATTGACAATTGAAATTGCTATAGAGACTGCTTTTTGTCTGTAGTCCAAATCCCTTAGCACTCATTCATGAGTTTTGTAACTAAGATGGAACTTAGGCCATCTTTTGCTGCTGGTTTGTAGTGATATTCCCTTTTTCTAATATTCAGTCATTCAGCTGCATTGTTTGTTATTGTTATTTTTTTCAAAAACAAAATGATCTTATCCTACAAATTTTATACTTTATTATTACATAGTGATGGCAAAGTGTTTCTTATCATATTTTCTGGAGGAAATGCTTCTGAACAGTTTGTTTTAATTTGTAGGTCAGAGTCTTCTTCCGTATCCTCAGGAAAAGGAGGTAGGCTTCCTACTCCTAAGCTGAGAGAACTTGGTGGAATCCAAAGGACTCATCATGATCTTACCACTCCAGCTGTTGGTAATAGGAAAACACTGTGCAGTTTTTATTTAACCTTTTTTTTCTACATGATAATTTAGTTTGAAACATGTCATTATCTGCCTTTTCCCAGGAGGTGCTGTTTTAGTGTCTCCATCTAAAGTGAAACCTCCAGTTCTAGAACAGAGGAAAACAGTGGCCTCTCAGGACTGCTTAGAAACGCCAAAGAATGATTTTAGAAAGGTAAATATTTATATTTTGGGGAAAAGCATCATTTTCAGGAAGTGATTATTTTAACTGCGTGCAATAAATGAATTGTAGGTTCATATTTTAGAAATGACATCGTGGAGACGATGGTTATTAACCTACTTTTAGTAAGGCAAATGCATTGCGTTTTTTCTGGGAGTGGCTTTGTATTTCTGCTGATATAATTTCAAATCTTGTTAGTAGTGACTCAACAGAAAGAAAGAGAAGAAAAACAATACTGTTTATTGAGTGTATACTGTGTGACAGTCATGTTTTAGCTGTCTTCCAGGCACTGCTAATTGGAAAAGAGAGAAAATAAATAGGATAACTAGGTAAAATATATAATATTTTAGATAGTGATAAGTAATATAGAGAAAAATAAAGCAGGGGGAGTGAATAGGAAATAGGGAAGTGAAATAGGAATCCTCTCTGAGCTGCTTGTCTTTGGGCAGAATTGGAGAAGGTGAGTGATCAACACATGTGTGTACCTGGGACACATTCTAGGCAAAAGGACAGCGGGTGCAGAGTTCTCAAGGTGTGAAAGTACCTTTTTAATTCCTTGAGGAACAACCAGGAAGTCAGTGTGACTGGAGCAGAGAGCACAAAAGGAAGAGTAGTGTGGGCCAGGAACTCAGAATTAGGAACTAAATTGTGTGAAGCCTTATAGGTCATAACAAAGACTGACTTTTATTCTGAATGAATGAGGGACAGAGAAGTGAAGTGATTTGACTTCAGTTTTTCTAAGCTCCTTCTGGCTACTGTGTTGAGAATAGACAGTAGGGGTGAAACTAGGTCAGAGTCAATTTCAATATCCAAGCAAGAGGTGATCATAGTGTTGGTAGTTTGGATTGTAGTGATGATAGTGGAGGTCATGCGATGTAGTCTGATTCTGGATATACTGCAAGATTTATTGATGGATAAGATATTGGGCAGGAAGAAAAATAAGATCCAATGATGACTCAAGATTTTTGCCTTAAGCTAAAAGGATAGAATTGCATTTAACTGATATCGGAAAGACAGTACGAGGAAAAGATTTGTCAGGAATGATCTTGAGTTCTGTTTTTCACATATTAATTTGAGAAGCTTATTAGACATACAAGTAAACATGTTGAGTAGGGAGCTGACTAAGGGTTTGTAGTGTAGCAGAGAGCTTGGGCTATCAATAATCATTTGAGACTCTTTATCAAATAGCTGGCAGAGGTATGTAAGGTCCTGAGATTAGGGGAAATTGAGGGATTAGGTGTAGAGAAGAATACATGTAGATAGGTTTGAGTCCCAGGTTTTTTATAGTGACAAGTTGAGGACTAACCAACAAAGAGACTGAAGAGGAACAGCCAGTGTGGTGTCCTGGAGGTAGTGAATGACTGCCACTGATGGGTCAATAAGGTATGAGAATTACTGGATTTAGCAACATGAATGTTTTTATTGACCTTGACAGAAGGCAATTTTGGAAGTTCACAGGGACAACTGCCTAAATACCAGTCAGTTCAAAAGAGTGGAGAAGAGCAGAATTGGAGACCGCTATCATGGACAATTCTTTCAATAGAATTTTCTTGAAGGGGGCTAGAGTGATGGAGTGATAGCTGGAAAAAATGATATTAAGATGGAGGAGATGACAGTACATTTGATGATGAGAACAGCTTTAAGAGCGAAAAAAGATCCTGCATAAATGGAAGGAAAATTGCTGGAAAGATGTCCTTGAGTAGGAGAAAGGGTAAAGGATTTTTATGGAAGAGCTGTGGGCTTTAGGCACTCTAACAGTTTTTATGTGATTATAAGAAGGCAAGCAGAATACATGGGCGCTGCTGCTGAACTATAGGAAGATGTGGCAGGAGCTGTTGCAAAGTCTCTTCTGATTCCTTCTTGGTACATGTAAAGAAAGAAAGAATGAGCCTGGTAAAGAAAATGTTGGGGTTTGAGGAAAGAGAAGGCATGAAATAGTTATTTCAGAGAGTGGAAAAGCAAGTGGGCCTAGAAAATAAGAAATATTGTAGTTTAACAGTAAGAGGTCATTTTCAATCAGCGGTCGTAAACTTGATGTGAGATTAGTCAGGATGGGTTGTATGTTTTTCTTCAAGCACAAATGGCATCAGAGGTGAAGCATAGGTTGAGAGCTGGAGTTAAATAGGGTTCATATTCTGTCAAGGGAACAAGCCAAAATGAGAAAGGAGGCTAGGGAACTAAGGTATGCAGGGAAGAGATTATGCCTGACTGATCATGGAAGTAGAGTTAGTTAGAGAGAGAAAATAGGATTTGAGAAGTTAAAGTAAAGGGCAAGGGTGACAGGATCAGTGGATGGGAGGTCCTGACAGATTGAAGGACTTCTTGTTGTTGCAGTTGGTGTACCTGTGGGGATAAGTTTTAAAGTTTAGTAGGTGGTGGTCAAAAATTGAAATTATGGAGAGGTTGCCGTTACCAGTAATGACAAGGTTTAACATGTAATCATGGGAGTGACTGAAGTAGGATAGAGAGCATTCAGTGGAGAGGTTTAGTTGTTTTAGGGATTTTGCTGATTGCTGTTCATGAGTTCCAGAGAGCACAGTGGAGAATTTTTAGGTGTTGAAGAGGGGTGAGAGACAGATTAAAGCCCAGTGTGTGTGCCCCCTCCCTTCCACCTCAGTATTTGGAACAGAGCCTACCTCATAGCAGGTACTCATTAAATGTGTGTTGGTACTGGTTTGGATAATGGGGAATGGGAGACCATGAGTGACTTCCAGGTTTCTGGCTTGTCCAGCAGGATTGATGGGGAGGGTGTGCCATGCACTGAGTAAGGGAAATCTGGACAAGTTATTCTCTTAGAGGAGTCTATCTGGAAGTCCATTTTCATTTATTTTTTAATGTTTTCTTACGTGCTAAGCACTATTTTAGGATTTGGGAATTCATTGATAATCAGGGCAAAATCTGCAATCATGGAATTTACATTTCCATGGGAATGTCTGTAGACAAACAATTTTTTTACAAAGATAAGGTAGTTTAAGTGTTATGAGTTAAATAAAACTGCAAGAGACTGCCAAGGGTAGATGAGACTGTTTTAGTTTGGATCATCAGTATGGCATCTACAAGAAGGTGACATTTTAGCTGAGACCTCACTTACCTCTGCCCATGCAGAGATCTGGGGCAGAGGTGGTTTTCCAAGTAGGAAGAACAGCAAATGCAGGTGTACAACAGGGAGAATTTTAAAGAGCATGAAAAGGCCAGTGTGCCTGGAACCTGCAGAGGGAAGAGGAGAGAGTAGGGAATGAGGTTGGAAAGGAGGCCAGGAAAGGATTAGGGTCAAAATAACAGGGGTGCAATTGTATGGAGAATATAACCAAAATGAAAATGCATACATTGTGCAAAAATGAAAAATGATATAAGAATTATATAAAATATTAAAAAATAAAGCAATGGTTTGAATATTGATAAACTAAGTTAATAATGAAAAGCAACAATTATAAGGAATAATTAGAAAGTTTGAAGCTGTGTTTTGATTTATTGGTTTGCATTCTCCTAAAAAATAAAATTATATACGAACTTAAGGATACTATTTATAATATAAATTTTAATAGTGACTTGATAATGCAATCTAGAGTGATAATATAGTTTTTTTTCCCATCAGTTATTATTGAACTTATTTTTTGAAACTAGGTGCCAATTTTTTTGTTGTTTTTTGGTTTTTGTACCTTGAAAAAAATGCTGTAAAGAAATTCATCCTTCAGCTAGTTTTTGTTCATATTGTCTTTTTGTAAATATTCCCTAAGTATTACTGTGTGATTGAAGAACAGAAAATTTTAAATCTTGTTGTTTTGCCAACTCCCCTGAAGAGTGTGCTCCCAGCAATTGTGTGAGAGTGCCAATTTCACTACTTGCCAACTCTGTGTATTGTAGTTTTGATTTTTTTTCCATTAATTTTTAAGATTTGGTAAGGTAAAAGTTAGTGCCTCAGTGTTTGATTTTGAAATTATTTGCTATTAGCTCTTTGTAACTTATGTATATTTGAATTGCTTAAAAATATCTTTTTTATTTTTTAATTAGGCTTATTCTTTTATTACTTTTAAACACATTTATTTAACAATGGTAATAATTCATTGTCAACCATGTAAGTTGTATATTTTCCCTAAGTTTGTTATTTAAACAAACATATTAATGTTTTTATTTTTTGATTTTTTTTGTTTATTTTTGTTTTGTTTATTTACTTATAAATGTACACATGCATATGTATTTGTCTTTTTTTTTTTATCATTTAGAAAGATAGTCGTGTTATGTCTATCCTGACTTCTCCAACCGCTGGCATAAAAACAATTGATCCCCTGCCTTTGCGGGAAGATTCTGAAACCAATATCCCCAAATTTGGTGAGGCACCTCTTCCAGTTTCAAAAACCTTACAATATCCAACAAACACACCTCAGCAGTCTCCTTCTCCACCATATACTTCATTCCACTGGAATCCCACCCGTCGAATTCAGGGCTCCCTCAGAGATCCAGAATTTCAGCATAATGGTAATTATTTTGGTTTTAATTTTCTTGTCTTTTAAAATGAAAGCGTTATACTGATAGGTATAGTAAGTACACCTGTACTATATATTAATAGTGTTATTTAGTTTTTTTAGTTAATGTAATAAATTTCTTTAAATAGGAAAAAATCTCATATTTGAAACACTCAGTTGTGCGGTACCTGTATTCACTTATGTTTAGGGCGTGAGCTGTCTTGTCCAGCTCTTTCTGTACACATGTAGACTGGCCACTAGCTGCCAGTAGCACCTCTACCCTGGGTATGATAACCAAAAATGGTTTTAGAAATTGTCAAATGTTGCCTGGGTGTAGAATTCAAGGTCATAAATTATTTTCCTTTAGTACATTAGAAATGCCACTGCGCTTTCTAACTTCCTCTATTACGGTTGAGAATTTGATGCTCTTTTATTTTCAATCTTTCACATGTGGTTTACATTTTTCCTTTGCATCTTTTAGGGTCTTCTTTTTACACCCTATGTGCTGACATTTTAAAATGGGTCTCCATTCGTTTTGCACACCCTCCGTAGATACTTTACAATCTGGAAACTTAAGTTTTTTGCTTCGGGGAAATTTTTTTGACTTACTAATTATTTCTTCCCCTTTATTTTCTGTTTACTCTTTCTGGCACTCTAGTTATTCTGATATTGAACATGTTAAGCATTATCTTATTTTCTTTTCTTACCTCCTATTTTCCATCTGTTTTTAGAGAGGTTATTAATTTTTATCTTCAACCTCTTGAGTTTTTACAAAATACTTTGCTCTATTTGTAATTTCTAAGAATTTTTTTAAATCTCTTCATACTCTATTTATTTATTTATTTTTTAAATAAAATGAATTTTATTCTTTTTTTTTAAATTTTTTTTATTATATCACAGTTTTTTATTGGCCAAGAATCCAGATATGGTTTAGCTGGATTTTTTTTTTTCATACTCTTGTTTATTTCATGGATGGTCTGTTTATCTCTTTGAGGGGCTAAAAGATAATATGCAACAACTCTCTTCCTCCCCATCTTGAATATGGTACCCTTGCCCTCAGTTGAGCCTGGTATGCTTGAGTCAGAATGACTCTGATAAACCTTTAGAGATGAGACATTCATTTGTCTTTTGGGAGAGAGGTAGTTACCTAGCTGTGTAAATTTAAAGAAGGATCAGACAGACTTTTTTTTTTTTTTTAAATATTATTTATTTATTTATTTATTTATATTTATACAAGCACTGGGTACAGTCAGAAGCGCTGGAGGGTGAGAGAATTCACCAGAGCCAGAGCGGGGAGCAGAGCAGGCAGAAGGACTGAGTACACTGCTGAGGGGAGCAGCGGGCGGCAGGAGAGGTCTGCGCGCCATGCAGGACCCTCCTCCCATGGCCGGGGAGCAGCCGGGATCGAACCGGCGCTGCAGAGGCTGCGGGCAGCTTGGCAACCCAGCGCTCAACCGCTGCGCCACCGGGGAGGCCCAGACAGACTGTTTTGTAAAGGATTTTCAGCCAAATTTCTGGTTCAATATTACCTTCACTTCATCTTTCTATGGCACCACTCAGCACTTCTAACCTTGAGCCGTTAAGGGAACAAATTGCTTGTTTCTTTGTTTCCCTGTTTTCTAGTTTAGAATTGAACTGCATGAGTAAGATAACACACTCATTACCCTTAATTTGCTTTCTGCTTCCAAAATTATTTTTCTGTCTCCAATTTCCTTTGTCCTGTGCATTTATATTATTTTCGTTAAATGTGTATATTCCATCTACCATCTTTAAACTGAAACCTACAACATTTCTTTAAAGTTAGAATTGATTGATATTATCATTGAAAAGAATTCTAGGAGGGTATCCATTATTAACTTAAATATTTGTAAGCATATTATAAATTAATAGCCTTTTGATAAAATTTCTATTAAAGATATAAAGTTAATAAAATTTTTATCAGCTTACTTTCATTATAAATAACATATACTGTTGGGTGACTTTGAAGAATAATTTCTTCTGCCTTTGTTTTAAGTGGGAAAAGCAAGGATGAAAAACCTCCAGTTACCTCAGCATGAAGCCTTTAATGATGAAGGTATTTCATAGTCAAATAACATGATAAAAGTTTGAGGTTTTATTATATGGTAGTTTATGATAGTAGAAGACCTTATATTTTATTAGCATTTTATACTTTTCAGAGTACTCCCATAGATGTTATTTTAGTAAGTCTTTGAAACCTAGAGGTGGGGGATGAAATGATCCCCATTTTACAAAGTGAGTCAACTGGGAAACTAATGCATTGAAAAATTTCTTTTAGGGCAAACGGGTAAGAGAATGTGCCTTGTATCACACTCAAAATAAGGATTGTTTCTGTTTTTCTAGCCTGACTAGTTGGGGGCTCAGGAATCATGGCCTAGTATTATAGTCATCATCATTTTTTCCAAATTCAATTTTCAATTCTAAAAAAAAAAAAAATCACAGTAAGTGAGATTATTTTAGAATTGTGATATAAGTAACATGATTAAAATATGGCATTTTGTTTTAAAAAATTTTTAAAATTTTTAAAAGCTTTTTGCTCAGAACAGCTGTGCTTTTTAAAGCAGGACAAGACAGTATGATGATGAATTGTTTTAAAGTAATATTGAAATCATAGGCCTTGTGTTTAGGTAGTGACATGGGGTTTCAGGAAGGAAATGCAGAATGCTCACTTAACATTAAAATGTTTGATTTTTAAACATGGTAAACTTAGAAAATTACTATGAATTTTCTAGGGATGCTAATATATTTTAATATATTACTATTTTCTAACAGCATCAATGTTGACTTTACAAATCTTAATGGTTTTAATTTTCTGCTAATGTTATAAAACATAGCATTTTATAAAATATTTTTTTTTTGCACTGAATATAATTCTCTCATTGCAGATGAGGACAGATTATCTGAAATTTCTGCTCGCTCTGCAGCTTCTAGTCTTCGGGCTTTTCAAACTCTGGCACGAGCTCAGAAAAGGAAGGAGAGTTTCTGGGGTAAAACATAATTAAATATATATCTAGTTGAGTTGTATTTATCTAGGGAACCATCATTAGCATAGTTTTTCTTTGTTGCTTTCCTATGGTAAGATTTTTCATGTTTTTCCCCTAACATTTCCTACTAAAAAAAAATTGATTAAAAAAAAAAAAAAGAATTGATTGAGAAAAAAGAATTGGTTTTTCAATAGACAATTCAATTTACTTGGAAAATTTTAACAGTTTCATACGAATTTAACTTTTAAAGAATTGTTTTTATATCTGTCTATAAGCATAGATTATATAACAGTTCTTTACATGTTCTAACTTTTTGTATTAGGCATCAGGGATAGCTGATAAAGTTTTAAATGTCACATATTCAGAGAATATTCCAAAAAGTGAACAAAGTCAAGTAAAAATGGAGATCCAGGTATGAAGTATATATTCCCCTAAAAAGTATATGTATCTTTATAATTATCAATGTCATAAAATGAAATTTTTCTTTCTTTAACTTTTACTGTAGTCTTTTTATTTTAGTACCTTCTGTATGTGGTTGCAGTGTTAAGATAATTGTACTTTAGATTGAAAATACCAGCTGTATATATTTTTCTTATTTATATAACAAAATTTGTTGGGAGACTGTATATTTTGCTCTTTGTGTGTATTGTTTGTATAAAGACTTTGGCTTATATTTGAATAATGTCCAGATTTTGAAAAATTTGTATAATGGAGATTTGAAACTTTGTAGATATTTTGAAATAAAAATTGATCAAGTGTCTCGATTCTGTTTGTTTCCATTGTTTTCTTTCTTCAGAAGTTATTAAATGGAACAAATTATTATTTTTTAGAAACATTCTACTCATAACAGGTTAATCAAATGTTGTACTTCTTTTGCAGCTGTCTAAATGCAATAAAACCAAGTTCATTATACTTTTGTACAAGTGTAGAAAAAATGAAGAATTTCCTTGCAGATTAACTAAAAAAATTTTTAATACCAACTTTTTTGGCTATCCATCTTCACTCATAGGGCATATTCTGTTGCTTTACTTTTTTATCTGGAAAATCATGATGAATTTTCTAAAAAATGTGGATTTCATAAAATATAACAAATTTTATAACAATAAGTACTGAAGATAAAATACACAGAATATTTGTGCTTATTGGTTAGAAAACAAGTACAGTTTGTTCTTAAGTGCTTAGTTAATTCAAGAGTACATTTGTAAGTCATCGATTATATAATTACATTAGCATGAGGTCATAAAAAACTGGGTATACAAGTATTTATATTCCACTGACATTTAAAAATTGTTGATAAAGTTACTAAGGATTACTAAGGATAAAAAACTAAGGATTATGAAGGATTACTAAAGATGTAAAAGTTAGAAATTAGCACATAATCTAATATTTTAGAGTATACACTATGCTTCTATGCACATTTACTGAGGCATATTAGATGTAAAATGAATTTGGAATTTGTTGTCTCTCAAGAAGTTTAGAGGTATCATGGTCTTCCTCAAAAGTTGGTTAGTTGTTTAGGACAGAGTCTTCAATGGTTGACCACTGATTTCTATGTAGTAAAGAAAGGAATTCCAACTAGCTTGCAGGAAATTGTGTATAACTCACTATTTATCAAGTAAGTCATAGACAGTAAAATCTGGGTACTTCCATTGGAGTAATGAACTTGATCTATCAGGTGCGAGGTGGGTTTGGTTGTGGTTATCGTTAGACTGAGCTCACCAGTCTGCGTGACAATAGCTTTGGACTGCTTCTGCCTCTCAAAATCCCTCAGCGGTCCAGGGGAAAGTGCTGAGTGGTCAGAGCTTCTCTGTCACTCACAATAAAGAGTATCTCAAAGGACACACATTTGAGTTGGTGGTTAAGTAGTTACAGTTCTATGAGATTTGCTTGCACTTAGAATTTCCTTATTTCTGTCCTTCCCAAGACTATTACTCATCTGTTGATATAGATTAGTTTGCAAGAATTTTATAAACGGATCCATCTTTTACATCTTTCACGCTGCATGCTTTTGAAGGTCATTTATGTTTTGGAATGTATGTTTCCTTTTAATCTGTTCATTGTCTGGTGGACTCTTGTGTTGTTTGTAGTCTGGAACTATAAAGAGCAAACATTGCTTTTAATATTTGTGTGTAAGACTGTGTATAAAAATGCATTCAATTCTCTGGAAAATAGAAGGTAATCCAATTTTTGTTCATTTTCAGTTCAACTACTTTTAGCATAGGATAACCACCCAAATCACTTTTATAAATTGGTGGTTTGGTTTTTTTGTTGAAATTGGTATCACACAAGATAGACTTGGGAATAAAGATCAGAATCACAATGGAAGGTTTTCCAAAATGCACACACCTACCTCCTCTGTTCATTTCTCCTCAGATGCTGAGATTTTCATGTGTTCCCACTTAGAACCCAGATAAAAATGTACAAGTATGCATATGTGAGAAGGCTTTGCTTTTTCATATCTGGTTTCCTGGATCTCTGGAAGTATGAATTTCAAGTTAAAAACTCCTTCCGGTGGTCTTGAGCATTAAGAATAGAGAACAGAATATGCTTTGTATATGGTCAGAAATGTGCCATGAGATTTAAGCATAAATATTCTCATTTTATAGATGAGAAAACACTCCTAAGTTACTCTATCAAGATCTCATAGCTGTTGAATTAAATCTGGGTCTCCTTACTCAAAATCTACCCCCGATGCCTACTTTGAAGTCTTTATACTAAAATCGCGAATCCTCCTATGATTCAGTTTTCTCTCTGATTCATTTGGGAGTTAATTGTTTAAATTCGCCTTTAAGGTATGGCACTTTTAGAAGATACATGAAAGATCTACATTTCTAGTTGGGAGAAAGATTATATGGGCATTGAATTATTTTACAAATGGCTTCAACTGGAATGAAAGTTTGTCTTTATATATTCAAAACTTACTCAAAACAACTTTGTCCTTACATGGAGCTATGTGGTGGTTGGCTACTCAGGAAGCTAAAGGATGGCTTGTGTACCCACATTTTAGCTGTGGACACCCCAAACATTTGTTCCAACTTCTAGAAGATTATCAAAGGAAAAATCTAAAACAGTGACTGTTTCTAGCATCATCTGCAGTTTGCTACTTTTATTTTATCTGTTTTTTTTTTTAATTTAAATTTTATTTTTTATATTCCCCATACAATTCCAACCCCCTTATTTTGACCGCAATCCCTCCTTTCCCTGCCCCCCACCCCCCATAGAGTGTCTCTGGTTCATAGTTGTTTGTTGATTTTGATATTTTCTTTCTTATAGTTATTCATTTTCCTGGTCCCTTATTTAAGTTTTCTAGATTGCTGCTATGAGTGAGACCATCTGGTATTTTTCTTTTTCTTTCTGGCTTATTTCTCTGAGCATGATCCCTTCCAGCTCCATCCATGTTGCTGCAATTGCATGTGTTTATCTTTTTTGAATGTTGAGTAATATTCCATGGTGTATATGTACCATATCTTCTTGATCCAGTCATCTATTTTTGGGCATTTGGGTTGTTTCCAAAGCTTAGCTATTGTAAATAGTGCTGCTGTAAACATAGGGGTGCAGGTGCTCTTTGGAATTGATGTTTCTGTGTCCTTTGGGTAAATACCTAGTTTGCTGCTTTTACATGTGGTGGCGTTGATCATGTCAACACGTTCAGGCCCAGTCTGTCAAACTGCCATCATCAGCACTCAGTTTCCCAAGAGTGTGCTGCACAGGAGCTACTGTGCCAGGCAAAAGAACAGTCTCTGACATTGGACTAGCTCGGATCATGCCCTTCTGGGCCTGGTCATGTGGGGGCACTGAGAAGCCAGTTTTTTACTCTTGCTTAACTTGTGGATCCAAGGCAGGCCAGTGACATCTTCAACCTTGTGATAGAAAACTTCATGCTGGGGTCTTCATGCCGGTGGTGCAAGGGGTTAATCACAGCACTGTGAAGCTATTCACAACCTCTGCAGCACGAGTTCAATCCCTGGCAATGGAGCTACCCACATGGCACAGCAGACCTCTCCTGTATCACCCACTGCTCCCCTCAGCAGTGTATTTCAGCACTGCCTGTTCTGTTCCCCACTCTGTCTCTGGTGAATCCTCTCACCCCTTGTACCTCTGGCCTGCACCCCATTCTTGTATGCATAAATAAATAAATCTTAAAACGACAAAACAAAATGAAAACATTATGCTAATGTTGATCCTGCACTCTGGTTTGACCAACTGCGTTTTTTTCATGGGAAGGGGAGACGCAGGAAGACCCAGCTCTTTTATTTCCTCTCAGGCTCAGAACCAAGCACTCTTAAACCATATTTCATTTTCCACTCATACCCTGGCCCCACAAGATCTGCTGAGTATAATACCTCTCAAGCACAGTGCAGCTCCCCATCATAAGGCAGGTAAGAGGGCATGAATAGTCATCCTGGAAACGGAACCCTCTTTTCTTCCACTCAGTGCTCCTTCCACTTGTCCCATCCATGGCTTCATCATGCCCTGACCCATATCAGAGATGATCTCAAGAAGTGGGCTCTCAGGTCTCAGGAGCACCGAGGCACCTTAGAAGTTAGCGCATGAGGTTAACAGGTCAGGTGATATTTGGGGGAGTTTACAACCAATTTGAGGCACATCATTGACAATTTGGAAAAATGTGGGAGATTGTTCAGCTTCCCCCTGTACATTCCACAGCCATAGTATGCTGGAATCTGCTTAGGGCCCATTATTAAATATTCAGACTTTTTATGATCAGGTTGTTAAACGAGCAGTAGTTGAAAATGGCCATGGTGGGAGTATTTTCACCATGAAAATCAGCAAATGCTATAAAGCAGGCCTTCCTCTTCAATTATACCCCAGATGCAATTTACAAGCCCATCACTGCAGCCATTACACCCATCTCTGCTTTTCTTTCCATGTCATCAGTCTGGAGGAAATGATGCACTTCAGAAAAGAGAGGGACCCCAAGATAAACTACTGTAAGACTGATTGCAGCACTCAAATCTTTGGCTTGCTCAATAAAGTATTTAGTTTCCTTTCTCGCCTGAAATCTACCTGGAAAATAAAAACAAGCCACAGTAGCAGATAATGGCCTGCAGAGGGAGACCACCACAACCCGTGGAACTACCCTGAGACAGGGGCTAGGGGTCTGTGTGTATAATCAGCCAGGGGATGCTGACAGTCAGGTCTGGGATCCACTGGTTTGGGGACTATAGTAAACTAGCTTAACTGAGCGAGCTGCTTAGACCTCTTTGAGTCTGCCCTCTTCATCTGCAAGATATAAGATTAAATGGCATATGGTCTGGAAAGGCATTTCAGATGTGCTATCCAAACATTCAAAATGTTCTATTGTGTGGAAAGCAGATGTTCATTGAAGCAATTGGGGTGGGAAGGGTAAGTCGAGCTTTAGAGAGGCCGAGTTTAAATGTGGGATGCATGAGGCAGCATATCCTGAAATTGTGGCATCTTGCATCACAGGCCTGTCTGTGATGACCTACATTCAGCTCTCACACAGGCCATGTGGGGCAAAGGTACTAAAATGATTTGTCTGTTTCCATTGCGTGACCAAGCAAAAAGGTCTATGGCTACAGTATCGTGGCTCAGTGGAATGAATCACCTGATATATGCAAACTCTATTAGTGTGACTGAATGGGAGATGTTATCAGGTACGAGTTAGGACATGTGGGGATAATGGACATACCATAATTACCGATGAAAGGAAAGATAAGCGAAGTTGGTTCCTGAATGAATGTACGGCCTATATCAAAGTTTTCCAAAGCTTTGA